CGGAGGGTGCAGCGGCCACCCCCCAGCCGTGACAGCCAGCCAGTGCCTGCAGATGTGCACGTGGTCCCTGGAGCGAGGCCGCCCTCCGCCGAGAGCCGCTGATGGAGGGCGGTCCACTTCCACAGTGCCCTCGTACACGCCTGCAAAGACGTTATCCGGAGTGTGCAGCACGGCGCGTGGGGTCGTTTATTCCCTCACTTGTCCCTCAGCGAACACGTATCGACAGGACTTGAGTTGGAGTGTTGTTCAGGGGAGCTGGACTGGAGGCAGACTCACTTTGTCAACTTAGAGTGGAGTCTGAAGTCTCTCGAATCCACCTCAATTCCCCTCATGTTCCATTAACTCTGTTTTTTTGGCAGGAGGGCAGGCACTGTGGTCCTCCTTTCGCTGAAGTCCCGCCTTCGCACACAGTTCCCAATGTCAAGACTTCACGGGCACCTGCGGAGGGCGCCGTGGGTTGTACTTTGCTATGAGCAGTGCTGCTAGCAAGCAGAGTCCTTTGTCTAGTGGGGTCGAGGTTCAGATTCCTTGTGTATTCTCACATCTGCATCAGACCCTGCTCATCCCCATGGTTTGCAGCGGAGGGTGTTCGTAGATCATGTCTGTCCAGACATTCCTAGAAAAGAGCCGTGTCTGTGACAGTGCCCAGTATAACCAAAATTCAGCCCGAGCTCCTGTTAGTATTTGAAATGCCTTCTAAAGAGCGTTACAGAACTACAAGGTTTAGGGACCTGAGACCTTTGGACTCCTTCCGTGTGGTAAGCAAGTTGCTTCATCTGGTGTCTTTGTTGTTTCTTTTGTTTTGATTTTTATTTATTGGCACAGAAAAGCTTCGCTGGCCTGAGCACGAACTCGCTAAGAAGTCTATCCTAAATGCGGAAGATTCACTGGTCGTCAGCAGCAAGAGAAGTGTGTCGCACTTGCCCCCGGGAGTGCTAAAGGACATTTTCACCACCGGAACCAGCAGTTACAATGTCCTGCTCCAGAGCCAGGAGGAGAAGCGACACCACGCACAGAAGCAGCCTTCCCCTGCCTACCCCAAGAGGTGTAAAAAAGCCGGCAAATGTCCCAGCGCCTCCCGCAGCCAGGATCCTCGCTGGGTGAAGGCCGCGGGGCCCGGGATGAGCCGCGGCGCGTGGCTCTGTCTGGAGCGGCAGCCCGCCGTCTTTGTTGCGGGTCTGGGGTCCAGTCCTGTTAGGTTCACGCGTGACATCTCTGTTACAGGGAGCAGCATCGTGCTGCCGCCGAAGCCCAAGACCAAGGGCAGGCCGAGGCACCGTCTGTCCTCCCTGCCCAAGCCCAGGCAGCAGCCGCAGCTGTCTCGAAGCTTCGAGAGAGCGGACTTTTCTGGAAAGAAGTTCTGTATATTGACTGCGATAAAGCCCACTAACTTGGAGAAAGAAAAACTGAAATTCTTCAAGTCCGACTATGCCTACAATCCTCAGTTTGAATATGCAAATCCTGCCCTGCCCAGTGTGTTGGTCAAACACAGCAACGCCTCGGACCGCTTTCTCAAGCAGGTAAAACGCTATCTCCATTGTGTTTTTTAAAATAATTATTTGTTTAATTAATTAATTAATATTTATTTTGCCCAGAGAGAGACAGAGAGAGAAAGGGAACGTGAGCAAGCAAGCTGCCCGGTGTGGGGCTCCCCACGGCCAGCCCCTGGCCCCCCACCACTTCCCGGCCCCCCG